ACTGTTTTCTACTTGACTCACGGACCACATCACTTGCTTAAATTTTATGCTGATATCCCTTTTCGTTGGGCTGAAGAGAGAAGTTCTGATCCCACAGCATTCACATCACCCTAACTCCCCTGTAATAACATAGAGGTTCAGAACAATGATATCTATATTGCTGCCAATATAATTATTGAAGACTGATTAATTTTTTCAGGTTATTGTAGCCTCAGGAAATACCAGTTTCCTAATGGACATGCCATCCAATATTATACTTTGAATTACTTTCAGGTCGTGTTGCTGCATTTTATACTATTTTAAATCCTACTTTCAGGATTTTCCTTTCTTTTCTTTAATTATTTAGGGTAAATAATGTAGGTAATTCATTTTATTTTAGTACATTTAACATCTTATTTATATGTTTGTAAGCATTCATGTGGTTTGCAAGTCAAATCTGCATACACACACACACACACACACACACACACACACCAGCAAAATAAAATCAGATTCAAGGAAAATTACCATTTCCTAACAAGACATGTCTGGTATTGCAAGGGTAAGTCTTTAGTTAGGATGATAGTGAAAGATTTTTCTAATGTCAATAATAAACCTGGAGTTTCAAGTCCTTTTTATGATGGCAGAAAATCAGTTGTGGATCATGTCCAAAGTTGTCCCAGTAAAAGAGATCATAATCCAGAAAGGTGTCTGATCTACTGTTAGAGTATTGATCACAATTGCGGAAGATCTGCTTCCCGGAATGCAAATATCCAAACTGGTCCTAATGGAGTTTTCCCTTTATTTTGTCAGATAATTTAAAAGGTCTGATGTCTCCTTTCCAGGGCAGTGGCCATGGTGCACCTCCTTACACACCTGTGGAAGGGCAGCGCATGGGATCTCCTTACACACCTCCACGGAGAGCAATACACTGGCTGTTCCTTACACACCCCTTTGGAGAGGCAGTGTGTCCACTGCTCCTTACACACCCCTGTGGAGGGACAGTGCACGAGCTATTCTCTACTAGTGGCTTTCCTTGTTGTTGGAAACCAATACCAGACAAGACGCTACTTAAGCGGGGAGGGTGTTATTTTGGTTTATCATTTGGAACTCACTTGAAGACCTGGCAAGTTTCCAAACCTTCCACACATCTTCTGGAGGCAGCCAGCAAAGCGGCTTTCACTAGTCTTCAGCCTTCTGACTGACTTGTAAATCTCTAGGAACCCTACACAACAGAGATATGTTTCTTAGACAAATGAGCCAGGGGAGCCGGGAGTCAGTGAGAGAGCACCAGGCGATCACACACAAACCTGAAAGATGAAACATGGAAACACGGAAGGGAGAGTCTTCAAACTTAATGCTAATTTGAACAATTCAAATCAAAATGATACTCCTTTTTGACTGAGCTAATTAGCAGGGAATTTTAAATGCTAATGAAGAAAAGATCGGGTATCAAGCAGATATTCTCAGGCATTGAACTTGGTGGACAGACTGTGACAGCCTCCTGGGAAGACAGCAATTTGGTGATTGAAGTGCATGCTGCTTGATGAAAGGCTAGATTTTGGAAGCTCTAAGACCTGCATATCAAAACAAGGTTGTGTCTCAACATGTTCAAAGCACTTATTAAATAATAAAATATTAGAAAAAAACTACCAATTTCCAAATAGGAGGAAACAGAATTATCATCACAACATTTACCTATAATAAAATGCTTATAATATTAGATGAAAAAAGCCATTTTATTTACTTGTTTATGTAGATTTGGTTTATTTATTGCACATATGAAGAGTGTCTATGCATGTTTGCGTATATTGGGGCACACCCATGCCCCATATTTATTTGTATATGGGTATGGAGGCCTGAAGATGACATTGAACCCTAATCCTAACACAAACTCCCTTCTGGAGGGTTCTCTGACTGCTTGGACCAGAGGTGGGCCACCAACTGTGAGAGCTCAGTGGCTTTTCTCCCTAGAGAGAAAAGGGGATCAAAGTGTATCAGCTGTGAGCTGCAGAGAGCCTGGTTCTTGTCAGCAGGAAGAAGCTAGGGACTGAGCACTGGGAGTGGCCCGGGCCAGGAGGACAAGGGACAGGAGTGTGTATGAGTGTGTGTGCATGTGTGATCTCAGAGCCTGGCAGGACTGAGTCTTCTGATAGCAATCAGGAGCTCTGAAGGAAGGAGGCCTGGTAGTCAGAGAGTCAGGTGACCTGGCTCAGTCTGGAGTAAAGGCCCAACAGAGGAGTCCAAGCTGAGCCCCAGGGGTCATCAGAGGTTGCATTTTATCCTTAGTGCTGAGACAACATGAATGGAGAAATAGGAACAGAATTGGAGAGAAACAAGGGATGTGGGCCCATCTGTGCTTTGGGAAGGTTACCCTAATAGGGGTCCACTACCCAAAGAGCTATGTGCAAAGGTCCAGGGGTCACGGTAGGGACAGAGATATGGCCTTAGTGAGAGGAGCCCCATAGACCTGATAAAGACCTGTGGAGTGCCCTGAAAGGGAGGGCTGGCCTGGAAGGTTCAGTTCCTGCTAGAGGGCCTGGATCCTGGGGAGGTGGAAGTGGAGGGTGGGGGTCAGAAGACTGAAGCCGGTCAGCTTCTCTGAAGGCCCTGGGCTCACTGCAGATGGACCCCAGTCCTCCGGTGCCCCAACAGTCTGACTCCCTCCCTCCCTCCCTCCCTCCCTCCCTCCCTCCCTCCCTCCCTCACTCTATCCTACCTTCACAGTAAAATCTTTGTCTCCACTGCAAAATGGAAAAACTGAAGGGGGCCCAGGGACAGCGACGGGGAGATAGAGATGGGGCGGGGCTTTTCATGCCCCTCTGATTGGTTCCAGTGTCAGCAGTATTGAGAAGTCAGAGCCCGGCCCTGCAGCCGGCAGCCACAGGGTTCTCTTTGCCCCCAGGGCCCTCCTTCATTGATTGTGTTGCTTTAAAGAATGTGAGCAGGAGCCAGAGTAAAGCAAAGCCAAAGAGTTGAAGATTAGGGAGAGCATATGCTTTGAAGTGAAGAATGAGGAAAAGAGAATGGCGTGTCTTTTAAATGACTTTTTATATAGTCTTGTGGTTGGGAGTATGCCCCCACCATGGGCTCATATGTTTGAATGCTTGGTCCCCAGCTGGTGGAACTGTTTAGGAACCTGTTTTTTTTTTTTTTTGTTTGTTTGTTTTAATAAGTTGCCTTGATGGCGGTGTTTTGTCACAACAATAGAAAAGTAATGAGACACCAAGGCTTCTAATAAGTACGGGGGTGGTGGTGGCGCACGGCACGCCTGCCTTTAATCCCAGCCCTCGGGAGGCAGAGGCAGGCAGATCTCTGTGAGTTCAAGACCAGCCTGGTCTACCAGAGCTAGTTCCAGGACAGGCTCCAAAACCACAGAGAAACCCTGTCTTGAAAAACCTAAAAAAAAAAAAAAATAAGTACGGCTTAAAAAGCAAATACAGGAGCTGCGAGCCGAAGAGATGGCACAGTGGTTAAGAGATTTCGCTGCTCTTGCAGAGAACCTGAGTTCAGGTCCCAGTAGCTACTGCCTACAACTCTAGCTCCACAGATCCAGTGCTCTCTTCTGCCCTCCATAGGCACCTGAACCCACAGCCACAGCCACACACACACACACACACACACACACACGTACACATAATTCACAATAAAGTAACAATTACATATAGGAATATATGAGCTGGGCTTTTGTGGGTTTTTTGTTTGTTTTTTTCTTAATGAATTCCCTTTGGTAAATGCAATTCTGAGATGCTCTTATTAGGTGCATTGCTTAGATTTGGGGATGAGTAGAGCTTGAATCCTTGCAGCCCTAATCAGGAAGGCTCAGGTACCCATTCTCAATAGGCTAATTAAAGAGACAGGTAACAGTGAAAAGCAGAACAGGGAGATTTATTCTATGTGGCTCCGTTGTGAAAAGGAACAAAGAGGCGCAATGACACCCTAAAAATATTATATAAATATAAACCTGACCAGAGGCGTAGGTTTAGAGGCCAAGAGGTACGCTTAACTAATCAGTTTGGGTTTGGGTGGTCTAATCCATCCCGGTTTCCCACGGTGAACTTTGGCAGAATCAGACTTCAGGCTTGTTCTTGGGACCTTATGAGAAGAGGGTAGACAATGTTTATATCTCCCCAGCTGGGGAATTTTCACAACACCCTACTGGGAGAACACTGGTCCAGATCTAGAAACGGGAGGAGGAGGCATGAAAAAAAGGGGTCACCAAAGGCATGGCTAGTCCACATTCACCTTACCGGCACCTGGTCCCAGAAAACCAGGATCCCGATTTTAAGGTGTAGTCTTGCACAGGTTATTTTAATTGTCATGATTTTTCTGCCCTAACAGCAAAGCCTTGCCAACTTAACTGTGCTGCAACAGTAACTGCTAAGTGGTGGTTTCCTAAATACAGCGCCACAGCCTCAGCGTTCACTAAGCAGAAAGGGAGATGTAGGATGAATGTAACACGCCCTCCACCCCATGTTTGAAACATCAGACAGGTTGATACTGAAAAAGCAGGAGAAACAACCTCTGATTATACTTAAGGTGATGCAGAAACTGCAGAGGAAGAGTTTTAATTTAAAAAATGTAAAGCTCTTCTTAGCTTTAAGCAAGACACGGTGTTGCCCGTGTTTGATTTCTGGAGCGGGAACCTAAAGGTGGTTTTTTACAGATCTCCTTGTTTGGGTTCCGCGGAGCTGCAAAGCTGAGCCTCCCACCAACCCCGTCCCGTCCGCCTTCCGCACCACGCCCACAGCGGGGACTCCAGCCTGGTCGGCCTTGCATCTTGACCACGCCCACCCGTCCGGCTCCGCCCCACCCACCCTGCCGCAGCCTGGCCTCCACCTCCGGCTCCGCCCCCTCTCATGTCACCCTTCCCATTGGTCTCCCGCTGCGCCGTCTGGCCCAATCGCAGCACTTAGCGCCAAATTTTGAACCGCCGTTTTCGTTTGAATCGGGCGGGCGCGGCGGGCAGACTTGGCGCGGAACTTCCTAGGAGGGCACTCGGCGGGCGGCGGGCGGCGGGTGTGCGGGTCGGGGCGGAGCGAGGGGCGCGGGTGGCCGCGGTGGGATCTCCGCGGCTGAGGAGCCGACGGCTCTGATGCGGACTGGACCCGCTGAGGAGCGGTCCCGGCCGGGGGCGCACAGCGAGCTTCACCGAGAGGCCACTCGGTCCTCGGCCGCAGTCGCTCGTCTCAGACTGACGGCCGGGCGCGCCATGGCGTCCTCGGCTCGCCTGGTCACCATCAAGCGGAGCGGCGGCGACGGCGCACACTTCCCGCTGACCCTCAGCTCCTGCCTGTTCGGAAGGTGAGCGCGCGCGCGCGGAGGAACCTAGGTGATCCCGGGCCGCGGCCCTGTCGCCCTTCGCGCTTGACCGGGCTGGCCCTGTAGGGTGTTCGGAAGTCATATTCGGGTACCGGGAGCTTCCCAAATGGAACCCGGGTTTTACATTCGGTGGACGCCAAGCTGACGTCGGTGCCCCGCCGCTCCCGCGCTGCTCGGGTGCTCCGGGAGAATTTCCCCCGTCTCTTCCCCTGCTGGTCGGATAATAACGCTCTGCCCTGAGGCCTCCCAAGCTGTTGCTTGCGTTGCCACTTCTGCCAAGTGTGACCCTTACGGCTCATTCTGCCGATTTTTAAATGTTACCCGAGAAGGTGAAAGGAAAGCTCGTCTTTCCTAACACCGTGCGGATTGGTGACTAGTTTTCAGATTTTTGTTCGTCTGCTTCGCGGTAGACTAAACTCCGAGGCAAGGGCTGCCTTGTTACTGATTACGTCCCCACGGTTCCATATGGTGCCTGACACTTAAGATCAGTCAGTCACATAGGGTGAGTGTCCAGCAGGAAGATGGAGATTTGGATTTGGGGTTCAAGGGAGAATGGTGGTTCTCGGGGAGACATTTGACAAAGTCTGGTGACCTCTTGTCACCCTGGGAGAGGTGTCTGTAGCTAGTATCGCTGAGTGAGGAAACAGAGACTTGGTGTGTTTGAAGGTGAACAGGGCGTTGAGGAATTCTTTGGTTTATGTCTGTAGAAACAGAGACTTGGTGTGTTTGACGGTGAACAGGGCGTTGAGGAATTCTTTGGTTTACGTCTGTAGTATTTAGGTTAAGAAGTATTGAGTGTCGTTGTCGTCATCTTTTCTGCTCAATAAAACTGGAATCTAAGATATAGTCTCTCTGCCTTGTGTTTTGATAACCAAAGCCTACATTTTCTTGACAGTTAAGGATGCTGTCACTTACCATAGCTTCTTGTTGTTCAAAAGAAAAAAATATTCTTGTCACAAGTGTCATTCATTTTGATTATTTTGCAATATTAATTAAATATACTGTATGCAAGTTTTAAAAATTCTGAAAACAATTGATGTTTGATTGTGTGGTATTTATAGGAAGTAATACACTTACACTCCTGGGCAGCCATTCTCAACCTGTGGTTTGCGACCCCCCCCACCCAAAAGACCATCAGAACACAGATATCTACATTATTATTCATAACAGTAGCAAAATTAGTTATGAAGTAGCAATGAAAATAATTTTATAGTTGGGGATCACCACCACATGAGGAATTGTATTAAAGGGTCACAGCATCAGGAAGGTTGGGAACCACTGCCCTAGAGGTTCATAGGAAACCGGTCTGACAGTGCCACCACAATGCTAGCTTTCTAGAAAGACAGTTTTTGTGGATTACTATTTGTAATGTGAGAACATTTTAATCTGTCAACATGGTGTGGTTTTTAAACAATAGTGAAAAACTCATGCGGATTTACTGTGCCCCATATACAAGTGACGCAACTATGACTGAATAGCAAATGGGTACTGGTATAGGCCATTTGTATATGAAGAAACCGAGGTACTAATTACCATTTTATGCTAGTACCTTTCTTAAATACCCATATTGTTATATAAAGACATTAATTATAAAGTTCTCCTAAACTGGTAATGTGCTCCATTATTTGTGTCTTGTAAGTATAGCTGTTTCTGTTGTCTCTGTGTAGCCCAGACAGGCCTGGAACTAGCTCAGTAGACCAGGCTGACCTTGAACTCGTAGAGATCCTCCTGCTGCCACCCACCCAGTGCAAGGGTCGAAGGCTTGTGTCGCCATCACCACACCCTGCCTAGTAGAACTATTTATTTGAAAGGTGATTGATGATGTGTTCTAGTGTTTTCTAATATAATTCTGAAGTACTAGAAGTTTTAATAATCCTTTATGGCTTCTTAGGCAGTACTGTGTCATTGTGTCCTTACACTTACAGTCTCAGTGTGTTAGTCACATTCTGTTTTTTTTTTTTTAATTTGAGGTTGGTGGGGTTTTTGTTGTTGTTGTTGCACACACCCCATAAAAACCTTCCCCCCCTTTTTTTTTTTAAGGAGTATTGAATGTGACATTCGTATCCAACTGCCTGTAGTGTCAAAAAAGCACTGTAAAATTGAAATCAATGACCGGCAGGTAAGTGGGTTTTGGAAATCAACTTTTAAAGCTTTTGGATTTGATTTTAAGCAAATCCTTAGTATTTTCCTCTCCTCTCCGCTCGTAGGCAATTTTGCATAATTTCAGTTCCACAAATCCAACACAAGTAAATGGGGCTACTGTAGATGAGCCTGTGCAGCTGAAGCATGGAGATATAATTACAGTCATTGACCGATCTTTTAGGTAGGTGAAAACTAATGGGGTTAATTCTAAATGCTGTGTTCTCTTTAATCATGAACTAGTACTAGTCCAGCTGTGGTCCTTCTTTGGTGTTGATGGGTGTTGGGAATATCTCATGGGGTGAATGTGTGGTGTGTGTGTGTGTGTGTACAGATACTTGCACCTGTGCCTATGGAGAATAAAGGACAACCTTAGGTGTTGTCCTCTGGATATGGGTCCTTTTTTAATCACAAAGTAGGCTAGACTGGCTAGACAGCCAAGCCCAAGAGCCCTCCTGTTTTTGCTTTTCTAGCATTGATGGCACATCTTAAAATTCCCAGCTTTTGGGCCTTTAAAGAACAATTATGTTAAACTGAGGCTATTGGGCTGAAGCCCTAACCCCGTGACTGGTGTCATTATAATGAGAAAAGATTAGCAGCCAGAGTTACCAGGTGAGCAAGTACACAGAGGGGAAGCACTGTGAAGAGGCAGGAAGAGGGCTGCTGGTCAAGGAGGCCCAGAGGAAGCCATCCCTGCAGACACCTTGGACTTCCAGCCAGAACCGTGAGCAGCACATTTATTTCTACATTTCTGTTACTTAAGCCACTGTCTGTGTTGTGATTGTGGCAGTCCTAGCAGACTAATACACTACCGCCAAGTCACGGGACATTTCTACACGTTTCTTTGCGCTCTCTTTAATCACTATTTCTTTTCTCTTATTCTCTCTTACATGGTGTCTGTAAGAGAGAAGCATCTTTGGAGTCATATTACCTGCTGGCGGGCCTCTAAACACCATAACGTAAAACTCCATGTGTTTGTGCCTGACTGGTACTATTGTCTGTCTCTGTGTGTGTTTGATTTGCAGCATGTTGGGCGCCTTTGGCTTGTTTCTTCTCACGGTATAGGCATTTCATTAACAGTCACAATATTTGCAGTAATGTGTAAGAGTGTTCACAGTTTATTTGTTCTTGATGAGCATTTGAGTGATTTCCACTTGAAATTTGTCAAGGCTTTCTTTGTGATCAAATGTCCTCCCCGCTTTCTGTATTTGAAAATAGTATTCTGCAGCTACTGAATGTACTGTTCTAACTATAGAGCTGTTAAATTCTCTATTATTAGTAATTATTTTATATTTCCCTGCTTAATAGTTTAAGAGCTATTTTGAAATCACCCACTGAGAACTTGTTTTTTTTTTTTTTTAATTTCTTTATCACTTTTTGTTTTATTTATATTTTTTGATGCTACACAGGTTATATATGCCTGGACATAATTCTAAATTGTGCACAGAATTCTTTGTTGTTTAAAATAGATTCTATTTTTGTCACTTTTTTTTTTTTGCTTTTGTTTTTTGAGCCAGAGGTTTCTCTGTGGCTTTGGAGCCTGTCCTAGAACTTACTCTGTAGACCAGGCTGGTCTGAAACTCACAGAGATCCGCCTGCCTCTGCCTCCCGAGTGCTGGGATTAAAGGCGTGTGCCATCACGCCTGGCTTGTTATATCTTGCTTTAGGATTCCTTTGGATGATAAATACAAGTGAACTCAGTTCCTTTTGATTAGTGCTTACATAGCACAGCTTTTCTATCCCTTAATTTCAACTCTTATAATTCTTCTGGCTTTTGTTGTTTCTGGGAACCTGCTGTTGAGTATCTTGTCTTTTAATATACTATTATCTTAGATCCAATATCTTGATGGATTTACCCTTAAGTTCTCATAAAATGTCCTTTGTCTCTAATTTGACTAGACTCTTTAAAAAAGGCTTAGTTCAACAAGATGATACTTGGGAGAGGGTTCCAGATACTAGCTGTCTTTAGATCTTACATAGACAGCAACTAAAGTCAAATCAGGCTACTTCTCTGAGGTACCAAAGTTTCATTGTACACAGTAAATGGTTTCGGCTATGAACTGACCACAAAGATCTGCCATGATCTAATGCCATCTTCCTAAGATGTGCCTTTCCTCCAGAGAGATTGGGAAAAGAAGTGATCATAATTCTAAAACATGCTTTGTAGTTAGTTTTCTGTTATGTAAGTTTTTAGTATAAAAATTTTTCCTAAACTAAACCAATTTCTTGGCTTAAGGTAATATTAGGAACAAAGCCTAAAGTTTGTTCCATGGTTTCTATCTATAACGCCTGAACCTGGAGGTTCAAATCCTATGCCGGATTCTCTGTGTTGTAGGTATGAAAATGGAAATCATGAGGATGGAAGCAGATCAACGGGATTTCCAGGAAAATCATTTGGACAGGTGAGGGGAGACACTCAGGTTTGACTCTTCCTTTACCAGGATGGGAACTCATTAAAACATGTTTTAACAACTGATTTCTCACTCTTAAATTGGTGGCCAAGAATGGCTTCTGATTATAGCAGAAATAGATAATAAAATAAGGAGATAAGTTGATCATGAACATAGTAAAATTAACTAAAACTTTATTTATTTATTTATTTATTTATTTATTTATTTATGCTACTCAAAAACAGAGTGCTAACTTCGTCTTATATTATACTCCACTAGACTGTGTTGTGATTTTACAAAAGCCTGTGGTTAGAATAGTCTGAATACACAGAAATTGAATGGAAAAAAAAAGATGTAAAAAAGGAAGAATATGGCTGCTCCTAGGCATGGTGGAAGAGGTATAGATTTGAGACCATAGGCAAAGACAGATTTCTGGAAGAGTCCAGAGTGAACATGGCCCTGAGCAGAGCCATGTGAGGAGAAAGAGGAGGGGAAAAGAGCCTCCCACAAAAGAGGGACAGCTTGGGCCAAGAGCATAGCTAAAACAGCTGAGTTATATAGGGGCCAGAGTAGCTTGGGAGGGCAGCCTAGCCCTTGGGCTAGAGAAGTTTAGGGTAGTGGGTAGGGTATGCCAGCCAGAAGGATCTTGTAATGGGTAGAGACAGGGATGCTGGGAGAACCTGGTAGCCAGCCTCCACTTTGACGGGCACCTCGGCTATTTGTCCTGGGTTTGAGACCTAACAGGAATAAAAGATACAGCTCATGACTCATTTTGTCTCCTATTCATTGAGCCTATCCACCTCTGTGTGTCTAAAATAACTACATCGTGAAAACTGAGTGCTGAAGAAGCTTCCTAGTTTCTGGTGAAACTATGGCATCTATAGTTTTGTGCCTGTGGTGACTTAGCAGATGGAGGAACTTAATTTTAACTTTTTGTCTTCCTTCCTGTGATATTGGAAGACATTCTAGAAAATGTACTAGGAGAGGGGACCGGGAGAGATGGCTTAGAGAGACTGAGTGCTCTCTGCTCTTCCAAAGAGCCCAAGCTCAGTTTTTGACCCCTACATTGGGCAACTCACAACTGGCTGTAACTCCAGCTAACATAGGATCCAACATTTTGTTCTTGCCTCCACAGGTACCCACACAAATGTGCCTAAACCCACACACACACAAATAAATAAATAATAAACCTTAAAATTGAAAAAAAAGAAAGCTCTTAAGTCTGCTAAGAAATGTTTAGGTCATGAACTTTTAAGTCACTTGGGTCTGTTTCTCAAGTATCTAAATGTCATGAAGAAGCACTTTGCTAAAGAATATAATTAATAAGAAGAATATCTTCGTTGTTTCAAGATGATCATACTAAGAAGGCACTTAAATTCCTATTCTTATCTTCCCCAATTATAGGAACCGGTGCAGCAAGCCTCAAGAGCTAGCTTCTCTGATCCTGGTTGGTATTGGTTGGTTTCTGTTGTGGGAATGTCAGTATCAGATCATTATGACATTGGCAAGGGTGGGATCATGGGTACACAGGAATGAAATTCTTGGTCTTCTAAACTCTTAAGAGCCTGGTTCCATTTAACATGCCAAACCAAAGCAGACAGATAGCTGGGTAACTTCTTCCCTAGTGCTTGCCTTTTTAGCTGTCCATTTAATCTTGAGTTGTTGGTGGGATGTGTTACATCACTCATTATTCAAAGCTAATGTGTTTTTTCTGGATGGAAACAACATTGTAAGACAAGTGTAAGGAATTAAGTAGGAGCTGGGTGGTGGTGGTGCATGCCTTTAATTCCAGCATTTGGGAGGCAGAGGCAGGCGGATCTCTTGGTTTCGAGGCCAGCCTAGTTCCAGGACAGGCACCAAAAACTACAGAGAAACCCTGTCTCAAATCCAAAAAAAAAAAAAAAAAAAAAAGGGAATTAAGTAGTTTGTCGACTAAATGAAAAGCTAGGTTACAAGGCAATCTAAAATAAGGTACTGGATTCCAGAAATGTTAGTCATTGAGAAAATGTTGAACTTCTGTTTCTTATTTCATATTTGTTGCCAAGATGCCAGCACTTCAAAAACCACTTCAAGACGATCTTTGGTGCATGCCAAGAGGCTCTCTGGAGACAGTTCTGCCTCAGGTGGTTCAAAGGACAGTATTACCCAAGATCCATCCAATACCTGTTCTTCAGGGCATGTAGAACAGCACAGTGGCAGAAACACAGAAGAGCCCACTTCTGATGTTCTTTTTAAGAAGTCCAGGGCTACAGGGAGCAGTTCCAGGGAACTGAAGTCTTCTCCTGCACAGAGCCTTAGCAACAGCAAGAAACATGAATCTCCCTTTGAGAAACTCTATCAGTCAATGAAGGAAGAGTTGAATATAAAATCACAGAAACAGTCTCGTAGGAAGTCAGAACCACAACCTGAATGTGCAGCAGGAAAAGAAACATGGGAGACAAAGCTATTGGTGTCATGCAAGTCAAGAGCAAAATCCAGTGGAAGCATCCCTGGTCCTGCAGTCTCTTCACCCAAAGTAGGAAAGATCTGGACTGAGGACCAGAGTAGTGCTGTGGGGCTTCTTCAGACTTCCACAGAGGCTCTGAGTTCCAGCTTCTCGCTCGCTGAGACAGCTGAAAGGAAGACCCCTGTGCGGGATTCACAGCAACTTAAGAATGAAGAGTCCCACGTTAGTGGCAGAAGAGAATCTGTGAATCTGAATGAAAGTGAAGGTGCCAAGGCAGATTATAAGATAGTCACTCCTAGGAAGCTGGCAACTAGAAACCAAACTCCAGTGAAAGTTGAAGGTGTACCAGAAAACATCTCTTGCAAAAAGAGGAAGAGTCTTCCTGCAAAGATAGAAGTGCTGTCTACAGAAACACAAAGCCAGTTCTCTTCAACTCATCACCTTGCTTCAGACGAAAAGAAAACTCCAAAGGATTCCTTCAGCAAGCCTGAGAAATTGGCCACAGCAGCTAGGCAAATTTACTCTGGGCTACCTGGTCTTAGTTCCGTTGATATCAGCAATTTTGGTGACTCCATTAGTAAGTTGTTTAACTGTAGATCTACTTTCCCTAATTGGTTAATATCTTTCCTATATGTTATGAGTTAACAAGGTGATGGGTACTGAAGACTGCCTTTTATAAGGAGTGATAACAGAGGTGGTGTAGCTAGCTAGTTTAGGGGGGAACCATACACAGGAACCACGTCAGGAAAAATGTGGTTTTCTTTTACAAAGTAAGGGGTATAATCATAACGGCTTTTTACTTACTGCCTGGTTCTGAATACCAGTTGTATTTTGTGAGACTGGTTCTTGGGAATAAATCAGGAGCAGTCCTTCGACCATCATTGAACATAGTAGCCCTTGGATGTTCACAATCTTTTCTGTCTGTTACAAGCATTTTATTATAGACACCGAATGGACTCAGGTTTCTACACCAGCAAAGTTCTACATGCTTCCAAGACATTAACATTTTGTTTTTAAATTTTTATATCATTTACTTGTTTGTATATGGGGGAAAGGGAGTGTAAGCATGTGCTATGATCTTGTGCAGGAGTCTGAAGACAGCTCGTAGGGGTCAGTTCTCTCCTTCCACCATGGGCCATATTGGTCCTAGGGATGACCCTGAGGTCCTTAGGCTTGGCAGCAAAGCACCCTTACCTGCTGAGCCATTTCATCACTTAGAAAAAGCTTTCTCTTTATCTCTGTTACAAAGGAGAACTGACAACCCAAGGCTACATAATGAGTAACCTTGTAGCATCTTCCTATATACCTGTTTCATGCTGGCTTACAGAAATAAAATGTCTCCAGACTTCAATACCACAACCTTTATATTAGGAATAGTTTCTGCTGGTGGCCATTGGTGTGGCTATCCCTCAGTGACACTTGCACCCAACAGCCAGTATTCCATTGAGCTTTATAATGGAGTGTCTGTCCTGGACAAGGGGTTTATGTAGACTGCTTACGAAGTTGTATAATGGGGTTTGGGTTGCATGAACTGTCCAAAGGCACTACCTAGAGATTTTTTTCCTACTCATATAGTTTACTCATAAAGCAAGTCTTGTCTGGCCTAAATATTTATGTCTTACTGAGTTTCCTCAGACCATTGCTCAGGGTCTGATTCCTCTGGTGCAGATACCTTTCTTAAGCTATTTCATATGCAATTTCCTGTTTTAAGGAGAACCCTGGTTCTGTCCAGTTGAAGTGTAATGCATCTGGTTTCTCTTGAGGTCTTTTAGGGACTTCTGAGGATGCTCTTCTTTCATCAGTTTTACGAATAAGGGTGCCATGTTTCAGTATCTCCTCAAAGCCTTACTTTCTAATGCTAATTTGAATTAAATCCTAAGTCCTGGCATGTCGTTTATATTGCTCTTTTCATGTTTGTATTCCTTACTTCAGACAAGAGTGAGGGAATGTCTTTGAAAAGAAGACGTGTATCCTTTGGTGGTCATCTGAGACCCGAGTTATTTGATGAAAACTTGCCTCCTAATACACCACTCAAAAGAGGAGAAACGCCGACCAAGAGGAAGTCACTTGCCCCTCACACTCCATCAGTCCTGAAGAAAATTATCAAGGTAAGCTGAACAGTCACATTGTGTTTATACCTCGTGGCTCACAGATTGTCCACATTCCATCCAAAATCCAGGCAGAGGTAGAATGGCAATTGAGACCCTTTTTTCTACCACTTACTGTATGCTCAGAAACAACCATATGGGCTCTAACCATATGGGAGGTGAGGTGGTATACTGGACACTTTCCCTTTGAAAACTGATACACCCACAAGGCCATATAATTTCCTGGGTCACACTGATACCATTTAAAAGAATCTGAAGACAGCAGCATATGTAATCACAAGTATTTTGTTTTCTTCTGGAAGTATAAGGGCATTGAGGTTGCAGGAGAGATAATCTTTGTTAAAATATCTCTCTTCTGCACGTTCAGCTCCTTAGACATTTGGCCCTATGTTTTATTGCCTTTCCTTGGTATGGCTGCATAGCTCAATTTCCTAAAAGGGCTTTGGTCAGCTTTATTCTGTTAGTCCCAAAAGGCCTAGTAGGCCTGCTTAATCCTTTCCTACCTTGAAGTCCCACCTCACAGAAGTGAGTAGTCTCTTCTATGCAGACCTTGGGGCTGTTGTTGACTGGGCTGAAATCAGAGTGCGTTGTTCTACTGAGTGATGTCCCCATTTCTATCTACCAGAAATACCTCAGTTCAAACGTCTCCAATGCGTATGTTACCTTCCTTTGCTTAAATGAATGGGACAATTGGCCCTTTCTTATCCTTGAAAAAAGACGGTCTTTAAAAGCTACATGGTTTGTTGTAAAGGTTTCTAATAGACACTACAGAGACGTTGCCTCATGGTCAGGTTTCTCATAAACAATTCTGCCTTATTAGGTACGACCTCAGTCACCAGGGAAACAAGAGTCTCCTGGAATAACTCTACCAAGCCCAAATGATCAAAGACGCAGATCAGGCAGGAGTGCACCCGCTTCCAGTGGCAGCGAATCCTTACCTCAGACAGACACTCCCAAGAAAGCAAGCAGGAAGAGTGGCAACCTGCCTGCCAAGAGAGCATCTATCAGCCGAAGTCAGCATGACATTTTACAGATGATTTCCTCCAAAAGAAGGAGTGGTGCTTCTGAAGCCAACTTGATTGGTTAGTGATGTCCTAGGTAAAATATTTCAAGCTCAATTTTTTTTCATGCTGAGTTTTGAAAAGTTTCACCCTATTTTCTTTTTGACAGTTGCAAAATCATGGGCAGATGTTGTAAAACTTGGCACGAAACAAACACAGACAAAAGTTGTAAAACATGTTCCTCAAAAGCAGGCGAGCAAAAGACAAAGAAGACCTAATACTCCCAAGGTACAGTGTTCCAGCCATGTACCACTTTTATTCTCAATTGTCTTAAGCATATATTTATTGTTCATGCTGTGATATTTTATCTTTCTCGTTTTTGTCTACAGAAACCTACAAGCAGCCTTCACAATCAGTTTAGCACAGGCCATGCAAACTCTCCCTGTACCATTGTAATAGGAAGAGCTCAGATTGAAAAAGTAAGCATGCCTGCTCGGCCCTACAAAATGCTGAACAATTTGATGTTAAACCAAAAAATTGACTTCAGTGAAGATCTGTCAGGTAAACACAACCTGAATGCCTGTAGTCACAGCCTTCTTGGCCCTTCTGTTTGTGACTTCCTTAGTGGTGGTTATCTTCACCCCATCCCACCCTACCCCTTACAGCCACCAGAGAACCACAGCTGGGAGCTCAGCAGCAGTGAATGTGACTACAGTTGAGCTAGCTTTCTGGTATCATAATCAAAGATGAAGTGGATTAGAAGTAGAGGGCAGGTCTCTGTCTATTTGGGGGTTCTGTGTCCTACAGGAAACAGGGATGGAAATCTCAAGTTCATACCCTCTGGTGAGCCGCATGCGTATAGAAAATGGAAAGGTGTTTTGTGGTGTGAGGGCAAAGGACTCTTACTAACTTCTAGAGGAGTTGCACTGATGATAGCTGACCACAGGGAATCGGTTGGTTTAGAGCAATATTAATGCTTCTTCAAGATTCATTTTCTTTCTACAGAGCTTAACTGCTTGCTAAGAGGAAGCCATATAAGAAAATCCTTTGGAGCCATTGATAATTGAACTATTTCCACTCTGCTTTAGTAGCAGTGAAAGTGTGACTGGCTGCTTAGACTTACTCTCAAGAAAGCAGATTTATTTCAGGTTCCTTGATATGTGATAGTTTCTAGTTGTACAATTTGGAAGAGAATATTTGAACTGAACAGGTAGAATTTTATTTTTATTTCTTGCAGATTAGGAATTGAAAATGACCAAACACCTCAGTGTATAATGGTTGTGAGTATCCCCTAAAAGAACTGTATTTGGATCAATTCATTTATCTTTATAAAAATAAAAAAACAAGCAAAAAAAGTAACTAAGTGTATTATGCAATTATAAATTATGAGTGTGTGATGAAAAAATATATATATATTATTTAAAAAACTCAAAGATAAATAAGATTTTAAATATACTATTCCTGAGACAATGGATTGTCTTAAATGATCCTTTCTCCTAGACCCATTCTTAGAGTCAGACAATTCTCATCCCTTGGTGTAGACAGCGCCACCCCACCCACCCACCCCCTATACACACACATACCCTTTTCCTTTTTTCTTGGAACAGAGTCTTAACTAACCAGGCTGGCTTCAAACCCACAGATATCTGCCTGCTCCTACCTTCTTAATGATACTATGCCTGGCTTGGCAACTTCCATTTTAAAACAATAGAAAGTAAACCCTTTCAAGTATTTCAAGTAAGACACAGAAGGCTATGGAAAAAGACTTGCTTAACAGACTAGTGTGGATGGGACCTCAGTGGTTCCCAGACCCATTCTGTGGTGAGTGCCAACTCAACTTCTCATTCTGTGTTAGCCACAAGACAGGAGCATGGCACATTAACTTTTCAGAAAGTTTAATCATTCATATTGAGTTATGTCACTGCTGCCTTTTTGTTTTAAAGTGAATGGGAATAGCACTTAAGGTGTGTGCATGTGTGTGCGTGTTCTTGATAGCACTGAAAATGGTCAATGTTCTGTCAATATTCTAAAATGTGGGCACATATTACTTGTATATAAGATTTAGATCCTGAGAAACCTAGGATTTCTTGAGCATAGAACAAGGCCCTTAGGTTGTGAATTCTTGGCGAATATCTCCTGAAAAGAGGTGCCCATATCCAGCTTTTGTCCCCTTGCCAGGACTTATTTTTGGGAACTAGTTTAGAAGACCACAGTGGTCAACTAAATCACTTGGCTTCCTTTTTCATAGGAGAGGGTTAAATGAACTGGATATATTTGTCTTCTCATTGCCCCCCCATTTTTAAATGAGCATGTTAACAAAATCCTTATTTTAATGAGATGATACATACCTAGAATCCGAGAGCTTCTCTGTCATCTAACTTGTCCTGTATGAGGAATGGGATAATGTAAGCCATGGTTTCAATATTTTCCTTTATCAGGACTAACTGAAATGTTCAAGACTCCAGTGAAGGAGAAGCAGCAGCAGATGAATGACATGGGCTCCATTCTCTCCAATTCAGAGAATTTACCTGAAAAACAGTTTCAAGTAACTAATTCAGGAGACAAACCTCTGCCTTTCACCTCAGAAATTTTGGGTTCGTTTATTTGTCTGTTACCACTTTTATACTTTTGAATGGGAACTTTAAGATGCTTTTGTTTTGCTTTGTTTTGACAGTACTGTATTCTTTACAATAGCTTTTTCTGGTGAAATGCCAGAAATTTCCATCTTCTCTGTTCTGTTTTTCAGCAGTTACTGCTGTCACTAGTTACTGACCTAGCTTTGTAGAAAGAACTACTGACTCAGTTAATAAGTTGAAATGATGTCTGTGTGGTTTTAACTTCTTTGTTAAAAGGTGGAAGCACAAATAGTACACTTGACCTGTCATATATAATTACACAAATGAAGAATTACTGCAAGGATAGAGATACTCAATTGGTAGAGTGCTTGCCTGACATGCAGGAAAATCTGGGTTCAGTTCTTAGTTCCTTCAAAAACTTGGTGTGGTGATGCCTATAATCCCAGTACTTGGGAGGTGGAGGCAGGAGGATGAGAAGGTCATTGTTGATTACATATAGAGTTTGATAATGGACCCTAAACATACACAATAGAACCTGTTACTTCATTAGTGAATCAAGACAATAAATAACTTTCTGATGCTTCAGAACAAAAATTGTCTGTATTCAGATCCACATCACATGTCATGGCAGCTTTTAGAAGACACTTTGCAATGGCCCTGCTTTATCATCAAATAACATTATAGAACAGTTGTTAGATCATCTAGTAGCTTGTTATATAAGAAACAAAATTATTTGTTCTTATACACTTCCTAAAGATAAAATGCTCAGTAGACCTTAGATGGTGAAAAGAATATGTTTATTGTATAATTATATTGTGTTACCTACAGGAGAAAATGCGCTCTCCAGTACTCAGAATGCAGCAAAGGAACCGTCTGATAAATATTCTGCAAGTCCTACTTTAAGACGGAGAAGCATCAAAAATGGAAACACTGTGCAAACTCCTGAGAATGTCCAAAACATTACTCACCTTGAAAAGAAGACTCCCGGCTCTGTGACAGAGCCTCTGAAGACAGTGTCCAGTGAAAGGAAGTTACGAAGGTCTAGAGAACTCAGACATACACTTGCAGAAAGTATGAATGAAAGCACAGAGGCAGACCTTGACCAGGGCATCATGGTAAGATACTTAAGGAAGACATCACTGCAAGGACAAGAAGTGGATCAACAGGTACAGGACAGTGAAAAGTGTTCACAAAGATTCAAGGAAAGTGTTGAATTTAAAGAAGATCCAGAAAAAACATCAGCTATGAGATCAAGTGCCAGGAAGCAGAAGCCAGCGAAAGACTTAATAGGAAGTCAGATGGTCACTCAAACAGCAGCCTGTGCTGAGGAACTATTTAATCAAGAAAAGGGAACCACAGAAAAACCAGAGGAATCCATGCACAAACAAAGTACACCAATAAGTGATGGTCAAAGAGCTACAAAACAGAAAGCGGACAAAGTCCTTTGCAAAACCCCACAACCTACAACAGATGACACCAAAACAAGCACAAAACCATGGCACAGCACATCTGGGAGGAAAGTCGACATGAAAGAAGAACACTCTGAACAAAAGAAGTTTGTGCACATGTCAGGAGGAACCAGGCATACTCCCAAAGTTCCAGAACTTGCACACGGTGGAATTAAAGCTGTGAAGGAATCTGAAAATCGAATGCTTGACCTAACTGTAACTGGTAGCAAGAAGCCGGCAGGAAAAGCTAAAGAGAAGGCTCAGCCCATGCAAGACCTGACTGGTTTCCATGAACTCTTTCTATCACCGGTCCCTGGTGACAAAATCACAAAAATGTCCAATAAATCACCATATCCAGAATTTCCAGAACTGGCCAGAACCCCAGCAAGCATTAAGAGACTGTCTAAGACAGGTCTTGGTAAGGGAGATGTGAGAGAAGAGCTTTCAACACTTGGGAAACGAACAAAGTCTCCAGGCAGAACCTCACACACACCCATAGCATCAGAGCTAGAAGAGAATGATACCACATCCTTTGTGGAAACTCCAAAGCAGAAACTGGATTTCACAGAGAATTCAGCAGGATCTAAGAGAAGGTCACGGACACCTAAGATGAGGGCTCAACCCCTAGAAGACCTGGATGGCTTCCAAGAACTCTTCCAAACTCCAGCTGGTACCAGTGACCCAGTAACTGTTGAGGAAACTACAATGGTGTCTTTGGAATCTCCACAACCAGAATCAGTCAGAACCCCAGCAAGCACAAAGAGACTGTCCAAGGCAGGTCTTGGTAATGCGGATTTGAGAGAAGAGCTTTCAACACTTGGGAAACGAACAAAGTCGCCAGGCAGAGCCTCACGCACACCCACATCAGCAGGGCAGCAGGAAAAAGGAATAAAAGAAATTATGGAAACTTCAAGTAAGAAACTGGTGTCTTTAGGAAATTTAACAGGGTCTAAGAAACAGTCTAGAACATCCAAGAAAGAGGGCCAGTCTCTAGAAGACCTTCCTGATTGCCAGGAGCTCTTCCAAACACCAGACCCATTGGTTGTTGGCAAAACCAAAAGAATGGCCTTTAATTCTCCACAACCAGATCCTGTCATAACCCTAAGAAGCATAAAGAGACAGTCCAGGGCAAGTATGGGTAAAATGGAAGTGAAAGAAGAATTTTCAGAATCAGAGAAATGCCAACAAATAGAAAAGGCCGTAGACACACTCCAAGTATCAAATGATAGCAATGTCATTAGAGCACCAAAGCAATCTGCAAAGCGGAAACTGGATTCAGCAGCTAGTTTGCCTAGCAGCAAGAGGCTACGACGTGCATCTAAGGAGAAGACACCATGCCTGGAAGACCTGAGTGGTTTCCAACAGCTTTTCCAAACACCAGGCCATTCTAAGGATTCACTGGCTATTGGTGAAACTTTAAAAATGCCCACCAAATCTCCACAGTCAGGACCACTTAGAAACCACACCAGCAGAAAGAGTCTGCCCAAGATCAGTCTCGGGAAAACAGATGTGACAGAAGAACTTTCAGCTCTCCAGAAGCAGTCACCAGGCAAAGCCCCCACAGCATCAGTACAAATGGGTGAAGGAATACAAGCAATTAGGAAGACTTCAAAGGAGAAACTAGAGACTGCAGTAAGTGTAATTGAGTTTACAAGGCAGAGAAGAGCACCTAAGGTAAAAGCTCTACCTCTGGAAGACCTTGATGGCATCCAAGAACTCTTCCAAACACCAGGCCACAGCACTGATCCAGAAATTGGTAACAAAAGAACAAGTATGTCGTTGAGATCTCCACAACCAGGGATTGTTAGAACCTTACAAACATCAAAGAGACTAGCCAAGACAAGTCTTGGAAAAGAGCATATGAGAGAAGAGATCTCCTCAGTGAATATGCTTGGGTTTGCTGTAGGGGAGATTGTACACACATCCAGACTTCAAGAAGATGATGGGAGAGAGAACAAGGATCTGGAGGAATCCAGAATTCTCACACTAGGCCCATCAGTAAATGTAACTGGCAGCAAGAAGCAGCGAGGGACACATAAGAAAAGGTCTCAGTCCCCAGAAGACATATTTGATCTTCAGGAACTCTTCCGAACACCAGCTAGTCATAAAGACTCAGTGACTCTTCATGAAACTACAAAAATGTCTTTGGAATCTTCAGAACATTTCAGAACCCCAACAAGCACAAAGAGACTGTCCAAGGCAGGTCTTGATAAGGCGGATGAGAGAGAAGAGCTTTCAGCACTTGGGAAACGAACAAAGTCACTAGGCAGAGCCTCGCACATAGCCATAGCACCAGTGCTCGAAGAGAATGATACCACAGCCTTTGTGGAAACTCCAAAGCAGAAACTGGATTTCACAGCGAATTCAGCAGGATCTAAGAGAAGGTCGCGGACACCTAAGATGAGGGCTCAACCCCTAGAAGACCTGGATGGCTTCCAAGAACTCTTCCAAACTCCAGCTGGTGACAGTAACCTAGTGACTATTGACAAAATTACAAAGGTGTCTTTGGAATCTTCACAACCAGAACCAGTCAAAACCCCAGCAAGCACAAAGAGACTGTCCAAGGCAGGTCTTGATAAGGCAGATGAGAGAAAAAAGCTTTCAACAGTTGAAAAACGAACAAAGTCGCCAGGCAGAACCGCACACATACTCACAGCACCAGAGCTAGAAGAGAATGATACCAGAGCCCTTGTGGAAACTCCAAAGCAGAAACTGGATTTCACAGAGAATTCAGCAGGATCTAAGAGAAGGTCACGGACACCTAAGATGAGGGCTCAACCCTTAGAAGACCTGGATGGCTTCCAAGAACTCTTCCAAACTCCAGCTGGTACCAGTGACCCAGTAACTGTTGGGGAAACTACAATGGTGTCTTTGGAATCTCTACAACCAACACATATCAGAACCCCAGCAAGCACAAAGAGACTGTCCAAGGCAGGTCTTGGTAATGCGGATGTGAGAGAAGAGCTTTCAACACTTGCAAAACGAACAAAGTCACCAGGCAGAACCTCACATACACCCACAGCACCAGTGCTCGAAGAGAATGTTACCACAGCCCTTGTGGAAACTCCAAAGCAGAAACTGGATTTCACAGAGAATTCAGCAGGATCTAAGAGAAGGTCACGGACACCTAAGATGAGGGCTCAACCCCTAGAAGACCTGGATGGCTTTCAGGAACTCTTCCAAACTCCAGCTGGTACCAGTGACCCAGTAACTGTTGGGGAAACTACAATGGTGTCTTTGGAATCTCTACAAGCAGAGCCAGTCAGAACCCCAGCAAGCACAAAGAGACTGTCCAAGACAGGTTTTGGTAAGGTGGATGTGAGAGAACAACTCTCTCCGCTGAATAAACGAACGTGTTCAGCAAAGGAAGACATGCATGTACTCAGACTTTCAGAAAATGATGTCACAGGAACCAAAGATTTAAAGGAATCTGCAGCTCAGATATTAAACCCAGCAGTGAGTGTAACTAGCAGCAAGAGGCAGCAAGGGGCGTGTAAGAAAAAGTCCCAGTTCCCAGAAGACTTCTCTGGTCTCCAGGAGCTCTTCCAAACACCAAGCCATGACAAGGATTCATTGGCAGGTGATAAGCTCACAAAAATGCCCCACAGATCTCTGCCACCAGAGCCAATAAACACTTCAGTAACCTCACAGAGACAGTCCAGAACTAGACGGATGAAAGTTCATGTGAAAGGTGAACTATCAGGAGACAGAATGCTTCCGCAAATGTCAGAGGAAATCATGGACATATCTAGAGATCCTGAATGTGAAGACAAGGGCATTAGAACAAGGAAGCAATCTGTAAAACGGAAATTGGACACAGCAGTCAGTGTGCCCAGCAGCAAGAGGCAACGAGTTGCACGAGCAGAAAAGGCACAGACCCGAGAGGATCTGTCTGAGTTCCAAGAGCTCTACCAAACTCCAAGCGTGGCAGTGGAGCCAGTGATTGTTGACAAAACCACAAAGATGCCCAGCAAATCTCCAGAGCCTGTGGATGAAACTTCAGAAACACAGACAGGAAGAAGACTCAGGAGAGTGGGTGTGATGAAAGAGCCTCTAGCACAAAGAAAGACTACAAGAGTGTTGCGGGAAACCAGAAACACGTACAAAGAGCCTGTGGGTGACAACAAAGATGTCAAAGAATTTAAGGAATCTTCAATGCAGAAACAAGACCCAGCTGTTATTTTAACCAGTAGGAGGAGGCAACCAAGGACACTTAAGGAGAAGACCCAACCCTTGAAGGAGCTGCCCAGCATCCAAGAGGAAACAGCCACAAGAATATCTTGTGAATTTCCACAACCAGAAGAAAAGGAAAGCTCAGCATCCTCAAAGAGGCAGCTCAGAATACCACTGTGCAAAGTAGGTGTGAAAGAAGAGCCCACAGCTCAGAGAAAGCCACGAGGCAGGGTAACCAGGAATACACTCAAAGAGCCCATGAGTGATAGTGGAAATGTTGAAGAGCTTAAGGAGTCTACAAAGCGGAAGATTGACCCAGTAGCAAGTGTGCCTGTCAGCAAGAGGCCACAGAGGGTACCCAGGGAAAAGACCCTGGAAGTCACTGGACCCATAGAACCAGTCCAAATTCCAGGTCACACTGAGGAATTAGCAAGTGATGAAAGACCCAGAAGGGTGCCAGAGCAAGCAGACAACCTCCAGACCTCACCAAGACATCTTAGGACAAGACGCAGGAAAATAGAGGTGGACCAAGAACCTTCAGTAGTGAAGAAGACAGTGCCAACATCAAGGCAAACTACACGATCCCGCAAGGTCCCTGAAATTGATGACAAAGACACCCAAGCTTCAAAAGAGTCTGGAGAACAGCAATTAGAAACAGTTGCCAATGTAACTGGCAGCAGGAGGCAGCTAAGGGCACATAAGAATGAGGACTCCAAAAAATTAATTCAAATATCAGAGCACACTGAGAAACTAAGGCATGACACCAGTACCCTTAAGAGCATGATACAGCAAATGCCAGACCCCATAAAACCTCTGAGAACAAGCAGAAGAGTGCTAAGGGCCTCTAAAGAGGACACTGTGGAAACTGTGGAAATGTCGGTGGATACCAGAGACCCTGCAGAATCACAAAGCAAAAGCAATACTTTTCTGTCCCCCAAGAGGAAGTCTGCAAGAGGTGGAGGCGGTCCAAGAACCAGGGGGTTGTGCTCTGTGACCTCAAAGCAGGAAGCAATAGATGAGAAACCTGCACCTAAGAAACAGAGGGCTGCTCCCAGCAAGAGGCACGTGTCACCTGAGCCTGTGAAGATGAAACACCTGAGAATCATGTCAAGCAAAACTGAACCAGTGGAAGAGCAGATTAGCAATGTCATGAAAACAGAAGAGGAAGCCCAAGTAGACAACTCAACCCCTCCAGATCAGGTGATGGGGATGGACATAGTGGGTGCACAGCAGGGCTTATTCACAGATGTATTCATGTCCTTTGGGGATTTGCACAAGGAATAGACTAATGCCTTAAGAGTTTCCCTGCCTGGAAAAGTGGCTGTAGTAGTTGTCAGGGACTAAATGAATTGCATGTATCTTCAGTTTGAAAAAAACAGGTGGGCAGTATAGTTCTGTGTATGACAGTATTCTTTCTAATAAGAACACAAGTGTTAAGGTTGGAATATACATCCTTGAGAAGGAATGGCATCCATCAAAGATTTCAGGCCCTTGTTCCTTGGTTGTCTTTAAAAAACCAGAAACTCATTTACTGCCTGTATGATGGGCATTCTTCAATAGTGTGAACTGAAGTATTTTGATATGATTGTCACCCTGAAATTATAATTTATCAGAGATGATTTTTTTCCATAGGAACAATGTAGCTGAGGCATTGTCTTAAATATCTTAGATGACTCTTGGTAAATTAATCAACATGAAATTTGTGGTCCTTTAGTTTACTTTTTTATTTTTTCCTAATGGATCTTGAGATTTAACTCGTCTTGTGATTGTCTTCTCATTCTCTTAGAAATTGCCTCTGCCCTCCAGATACCGAAAGAAAACCAGTGAAAAACATCCAAGGCCCAAGGTTGGTGCATCTACAGAGAAGGATGGGATGAAGACAAACGAGAAGACCATGAAGAGCTCCCAGGAGACAGAGCTGCAGAACACAGATGATGGAGCCAAGAAGTCTACATCTAGGGGCAAAGTCAGTGGGAAAAGAACGTGCTTAAGGTCTGGAGGACAGAGTGAGATTCCCCAGCCTCGTGCAGCAGAGGAGAAAACAAGTGAGACTGGTGCAAAAATCTTGAAGACGCAGAAAGAGAAAGGAATCTCTGGAGATTTAGATGCCAGGTCTTTGAGAGCCAGAAAAACTGGAGCCACTTTGGACAGTGAACCTAACCCAAAAGTAACTCGGGGTGCCAAGAAAGATATAAAAGTTCCAAAAAAGGTAAGCCCCTTTTGTTTCACATTCTGCAAGACTGGGAATCTTCTGATTTTTATGCCCAGGTTGCAAAGGCAAATCAGAACATGCCAGCAGCTCCCAGCTATGCTAGTGGGAGAAGCCATCATCCAAACCACCTACTTTCTTTTTTTTTTAATTAATTAATTTATTTATTGAAGATTTCTGTCTCTTCTCCGCCACTGCCTCCCATTTCCCTCCCCCTTTCCCAAACAAGTCCCCCTCCCTCGTCAGCCCAAAGATCAATCAGGGTCCCTGCCCTGTGGGAAGTCCAAGGACCACCCACCTTCATCCAGGTGTAGTAAGGTGAGCATCCAAACTGCCTAGGCTCCCACAAAGCCAGTACGTGCAGTAGGATCAAAAACCCATTGCCATTGTTCTTGAGTGCAACCACCTACTTTCTTGTGTGTTTTGGTTATTCCACTCTGAATAGTGAGTTATCTTATGGAAGATTTTATTCCAGAAGAGCTGTGCATTCATCCAGTGTCACTCTCTGGTGCTTGTAATGGTGCTTATCATGGTTACAGATGACTCTTCAGCCTCTTTAGGTCAGCAACACTTAACTAAAACACAGGTGGCCTAGACCTCCAAAGTCGTCCTTTAAAACAGCTGAATAGGGGCTGATGAGTTGGCTGAACAGTTAAGAGCACTGACTATTCTTTCAGAGGAACCAGATATAATTCTCAGGACTCTTGTGACACATAACCACCTGTAATTTTATGCTCAGGGGATCTGATGTTTTCTGATCTTGAGCACCAAACAAGCACATGGTCCACATATATACATGAAGGCAAACCACTCAGATTAAAATGAATAAGTCTAGTTTAAAAAAAAAAAGGCAGAATAAACCCAGAACTGGCTGTCTCCTAGGCAAATAGAAGTAGGTAAATTTTATTCAGTAGGGAGTATGTCATTTTACCACACAGAATCTAAACTAATGGACTGTAAGTACTTATGTATTGTCAGGTAGTGTTATGGTTACATTGTATTCTAGGAAAAGTTAAAGATAGGGTGGGCAGTTGCTTTTGTGGGAGTGATATGCAGTTGCTCTCTGTTGTTGGGGGCTTCTGTCCTGCCAGGTTCCAGCAATCGTTAAGTCCCAAAGAAATCACACAGAGGTCTACATTAGTTATAAACTGATTGGCCCATTAGCTCAGGCTTTTTATTAACTCTTATAACTTATATTAGCCCATTATTCTTGTCTATGCTAGCTATGTGGCTTGGTACTTTATTCAGTGAGGCAGTCACATCTTACTTCTTTGGCTGGGTTACAACTGCAGACTCTGACTTCCTTCTTCCCAGAATTACCTGTTCTCATTGATCTGCCTCTACTTCCTGTCTGGTTGTTCCGCCTATACTTCCTGCCTGGCTACTGGCCAAACAGCATTTATTTAAAATATAATTGACAGGTTACAGACCATTGTCCCACAGCACTTCCCCTCAGCCCTATAGGGTTAACAGTGCATTTCAGCATTTCATGTTCTCACTCTAAATAGGAACTATAAGCACATATTCATAATTTTGAAAGTAGTGTTTTGTCAGAATGAAATGGAAGGAGTAAAAGCCACCAGTCTTTCCTTGGATGATCCTGAACACAGCTGCCAAGCCCTGAAGGTGATCAGGCTAGGTCATCATGTCATAGGCACTCAGGCCTCTTCTCCTCACCTCCAAGCACCCAGAGGACTCTACACATGCTAAGTTTTTTCCGGGGCTGCACTCTTTGCTATCTTCCAGTCATGTGCTTCTGTGTGTCCATAGATGCAGAAACTGCATATGTGGGGTGTATGTATTTTCCAGGGGCCCATGCTGCCAGAGTGTTAGAGGAACAAGCCTCTCACCTGATGTGTGTGCTTTTCTATCATGTGTACAGTCAACCCATGTTAGCAGCTACCTGTCACTGTCTTCAAGAATTCAGCAGCATTCACATACATACCAAGGTCTTCTTTCCATGTTGAACCTCATACTTCTAGAGTTCCTGTTTTGTCTCTTTTTCTTACTGTTCATGATCACCCATAAAACTGCTTCTAAAGTATACCCAGCATCAACCTTGACTTTTCCTAATTTGTGCTGGGTGTGTCTTAATGTTTATCAGTACAAGGATTTCTGTTCATTTGCTCTGAGTGGCTGTTGGCATCTTTTGCTTTCTGTAGATTTGATCCCTATCAGGTAGCTCTCCCTACTGCCTTAGAAGACTCACTATACTCTTTTTTGGGAGGGTAGGGTGGGGGGGTTTCGAGACAGGGTTTTTCTGTAGCTTTTGGAGCCTATCCTGGAACTAGCTCTTGTAGACCAGCCTGGCCTTGAACTCACAGAGATCCGCCTGCCCCTGCCTCCCAGGTGCTGGGATTAAAAGCATGTGCCACCACCACCCAGTGACTCACTATATACTCTTGCAGCCTCATAGGAGAACTCAGGACATAGTGACTGTCTTCTGTCTGTGGGAAGCTATCTTTAAGATTCTTTAAGTTTTCATCCAGGCCACTTTCAGATTCAGTTTTTGATGCTTTCTAACTAGTGAACCATGTAATATATGTTAGAAACTTATGAAAGAGCACAAAATTTAAGTTTAAAAAGCTAAATAAGGAAATATTTAGGAGAAAACAGCTTTAAGGTAAGCATTGTAAAACTTGTTTCCAACTTTAATTATTATTTATTTTTAAAAAACACTTTTAGGTTCTTTTTTTCAAATGTGTAGTGAGTGTTTTGTCTGTATGTATGTGAATCACTTGCCTGCTTGCAGCAGTCAGAACAGTGCATCCAATTCCCTGGATGGTTATGAGCCATCATGTGGGTGCTGGGAATTGAACTTACGTCCTCTGCAAAAAAAAAAAAAAAAAAAAAAACCTGTAGCTACTTAGCCATCTCTCCATCCCTCAAAATTAATTTTTAGATTGGAAGACCTGAATGACACCTAGTAAGAACTGGGGGTTTGTAGAGTTAAACTGGTCACAAAAATTGTTTCTTTACATTATTTAGGAGTTGTGTTTCTCTTCCCATACAGGATGAAGACATTGTATACACCACAAAATTAAGGACAAGAAGTCACAAGAATAGTTAAAAGTATGTAGCAAAGACATTTAAGAAGAAAAAATAAATTTAGCTTAATGATAAATTCCAATGTAGTTTTTATCTTCAATGTAAAGATAAACTGTAATATAATATACTGCCTGTGTTTAAGAAAGGAAGCTTTGAACTTTATGGTTATATTCTCTTCAAACTCCAGTGGAGATCATGAAGGAGGTCGCCAGGATCTCAGAGCAATAGCAATTTAAAAGTTTGGAGGTGGGCAGGCTGAAGTGTGGCCCTCTATCCTGTACAATAAAGCTTTGAAGTTGACTGCCTCCTGTGGTCTCTGTGCAACTACACCATCATATCATCTGCTTGTGTCCTCGGTCAATGGCAAAGGCAGAAGTCCTGTGTCCCTCCACTGGCCAGATTCTCAGTATACATTACTTGTGTGGTTATAGCAGTGAAGCTTCCACAGGATAACTATACAATGGAGCGTTTGGTTTGTAGTCTGATCATTGGTCATTTGTATGAGTTGGCTTGATCGTTTGGTCTTTGACCTAGCAGGACAACAAGGATGTCTGAGCCCACCTTCATGGACACAGCTTGCTCTGTTAGAGAGGGCTTTTCTTGTTTGTAATTATTTATTTATTTTATTTCATTTGCATTGGTATTTTGCCTGCATGTATATCTATGTGAGGGTGTCTTGGAGTTACAGACAGTTGTGAGCTGCCATGTAGATGCTGGGAATTGAACCCTAGTCCTCTGGAAGAACAGTCAGTGCTCTTAACTGCCAAGCCATCTCTACAACCTACCTGTGCTTTTCAATTGGCATCTATATTGAACAAGTTGACTACTTGCCCATGGAACTATTGCTATTGGGTAGTATGCCACTCTAGTTTCCCAAGATAGCTTGTTTCTATTTGCCTTTTCTGACCTCTTGCCTGGCAGCATGAGGCTTTTCACCCACAGCCACCCTAGCATTTGGGATGAGATGAGTATTTCCCAAGTCTCACTTAGCCCTAGGCTCCGTCTCAGACCATGGTCATAACTTGTTTATCTCCACTATGCATGTTGCATACCCAACTTTCCTACCTTCCACCCTGTCCCTTAATCCCCTTCTGTGTTTTCCAGCAATCTCACATCATTGTTTCAGGCTGTTCACCGGCCTCCCTTGCCAAATGGGGTGATGATGGCAGGCTGGACAGAGAGGCCCTGGTCAGCCAATGGCCTACCTAACCTGCTCACTTCATCTTTGTGTCTCACATGCAGCTGAGTATACAGTTGTAAGAGACTGAGTGAAGACAGGTGTTTAGCAATTTGTGTGAGTCTGCGAGTTAACTTCTGCCATTTTATCTACTACACCATTTCTTTGATCATAAAGAATGGCAACAGGTTATTCCTAAGCAGACAGCTGAGGCTTCATAGGACAGGTGGCAGTTGAGCTGGCAGAAGACACTGGAAGAAAGAGCTCATTTTTGCCATGTTAGATGGTGTGAGGCATGAAAGTGCCCTTAACTGACTTAAATCTTAAGTCAAAGTCTTTTAAGTAACAGGAACACTGACTTGTTCTGATGTATAATTAGAAATGTTATATGTGTGTAGGAAACTGCAGTCACCTGCACGCTGGTTGAATGGCCCACGGTGATGGGTGAAAAGCCTGTTTAGTTGTAGGAAATTCTGCCTGAGCTATGGCAGTACATTTTCTCACTGAGGTAACTAGTATTTCAAGAGCTCAAAGACTTGGCCTTAGGGCTACAGGTGCTAGGTTTGAAAGGCTCATTCAGGACTTGGGAGATGGCCTAGTGAAGCACTGGCTATGTAAGAGCTGGGCATGGTGACACGGTTCTGTAACCCCATCATTGGGATGTGGGGTCAGGTAAATCCCTGGGGCTTGCTAGCCAGCCATTTTAGCCAAAATGGATCCAGTAAGAGACTATATCTTTCAAAAGAAAGCCATGCCAGATCCTCCACACCTGACTGCTTGTATGGGTGGATGAGTGTATCACACACACACACACACACACACCTGTGGCTACTATACAATAAACCAAAATGCTCATCCCAGGGTGACACCAGTGCTGAAGACACATTTCATAGAACACATGCTTCATTTACGTTGGTGGGCACATGAGAGAAATACTGTTTTCTTGGCTAATTTTGTAGTTGAGAACAAATACCCACCCATTCCTCAAGTGGTTAGCTGCCGTCTCTAGCAAGGTCAGTTTCCCAGCAGAAACCATGGTGGGAGATTCCCAAGAAAGGGACATTGTACTTTTTTTTTTTTTTTTGACTCTGTTTTGCTGTCATTTGCTCCTGCCCCTCCCACAACTAACTGCTGTTTTCTCTGTCCGAACACACCCCTGCACTTTATCTGTCTTCCTTGGAATGGAGAGCTTAGCACCAGCAAAATTTCCAGGCCTCTGCACTTGAGCCACTGTGTAAGGTTGGAGCAGATCCTTGGTTGGCAGCAGAAGCCAGGCACCCAGTGAGAATCAGCATTCCAAATGAAATTTTCAGCCCCTTGACTAAAACTGATTTAGTGTGATAGTGTGTAATCTGACTTGCCTACTCATGGCAGTGTGACTTAGGGCAAGCCTGTCACAGTTTGACAGGCAGTTTTCTGGTCTATCGAATGATGTTCTCAGTGCTCCAGCTCAGGGCAGTCAGGAGGATTAACTGAACAAAATACTACTTGTAGCTGCTATAGCCTCTGGCCAGCGCTTCCAGTCAAGATAATTAGGATCGTTTTCACAGGACCTACATCGCCAAGCTGTGTCCTGGGGTTTCCCCCTGGAGAAGGTAGGAAGATTTGAAACGCTCAAGTCTCAGCACTAGGTTCCACACAGTGTCCCAAACAAGGAAACTAGGCTAGGAATGAAAGAATATTCCTCCTCAGTGGTTCTGATCTCTTAATCACAGCCAGTTTCTCAGCCCCAGTCAGCCAGCACCAACTGTCCCAGTAAAGGTTTCACTTGGGTGGCGCTGCACTCTGGTCAGTTCCAGCTGACCAGAACCCACAGTCTTAGTTCAGAAACATCCAAGCAGCCTGACAGTCGTTGCTTCCCTCTGAAACTCCGCAAGACCAGCCTCCATGGTTCACACCTTTCAGCGTTATTGTCCAAGTTCCCACAGAACAGCTCACTAAAGCTCTGAGCACCCAATGGTTTTTCCGGCCCCAAATTTCAGATGCTTCCACAGTCCGCACTTACTCAACATGGTTAGGTCTGTCACAGCCAGTGTGTTCCAGGAGCCAATTGCTGTATTAGTTACTTTTCCATTACTGTGTACCTGTACATGTATCTGTGTTCTCATGCACTTGCACACACACACACACACACACATTTAAGTAAGACTCTAAATTGTCTTTGGTACCGGGGTTCTAACTTGGGACCCCACACATGCGAAGTAAGTTCTTGACCACGGAACTACACTCCTAGCCCTCGTGCTAAAGGGACTTGGACTTTGGGCAAGGGGAACTAAGTTCGGAAATGTGATCAAAGCAGCACGGGTACAGCTTGGTTTTCAGAGGTTTATTCTGGCATCAGGATGTTCTCGATCTTGCATTTTGCATGTCCCAAGAATTCAGCGACATTCACTGGTGTTATAATCAGAGCAAGATCAAACGGTACATGTAATCAAAGAAAATATGAGAGTTGGCGACCATGACGCATCCACATAGAAAGATTGCACATAAATTAAACATGGTTTGGTTACAAACGAATATATATATCAGTAAATACATGGAAAAAAAAACAACAACATGGCCATATCTCCAAATGCTGAAACACAGGTATCAGGCTCATTTTAAAAAGTTTTTAAAAACACATAAAAAATACCTTGGAAAACACAGGCGTGTATTCCTCGTTCATCTAGCACGTGGAGAGAGTAAAGCAAGTCACACAGTGACCAAAGAATGCACCCGATCAGAACACTCAGCTCTGATTGCTATTTGGCATTTGGACACAACTGCATGCAACAGAGAAATGAGAAGGTTGTTGTCGGAGCCAGGCTGTTCACTGGAATATACCGGACCTTCTTTGACTGAAGAAAGAAGGACACGCCAGGTACACAGAGAAGATGCTGAGGCCCCACTTAGGATGCCCCTTGCATACCAAGGTTCTGTCTTAGGGAAGCTGAATTTGGCTGTGGCATTAGACAAAAGACTGGAGGGATTTGCCCCTTTAAAGAAATACAAGTGCTGCCGCAAATGTGCCCACAAGAGGGTGGTTTCTGTTTCTGGAATGAGACAAGCTGTTTAAAAACAAGTGGGCCTCCTACGGGGGAACCTGGGGCAGCTCTGAAGTGAGGAAAAACACACAAATAGAATATTTTTCTAGATATCCTGAAAAGGTCTACCCTAAAGGCATTTCTTGATACAAGAGATGCCGGGATTCTGAGTAACTAAGTTGGGGTGCCAAGGCGCATGAATGAATTTTGGCGTGGGTGCAGTTGACTTGGGGTGCAGAGTGGAAGCTTGCTGCCCTTTGTCCTGCTTTAGTCAAAGAAAGGCATTAGGCTTGAAGTTTAACATGAAAAAAATGAAACCACTGGCCAGGGAAAGCCCCCCGCTCTTCCATCTGCCTGTGCTCCACTGCTGCACAGAGAAGAGCAGGACCTGCTCCACCCAGAGCCAGTCCTGGGTGCAACCGGTGGCGATGACAGAAGCCACTGTCTGCTTTCCCCCTGTCTGCTGGGCACCAGCTAGTGCCTCTGGATGGAACTGAGAGCTGTGGGATGTAAGGGAAGCTTGGTGACTTGTTCACCTGTAGGAGGTGGTGGCCGATTCTGGGGTTGTCCCCATACACACTATAAACAAACAAATACAAGCAGTGCAATAGGCCAGCATGATCCGTCCTCCATGGAGATGACAAATAAGGCCTTAATATTTTCATATCGCTTTTAAAAAGTGTCCAAACTGCGTATGTTCAAAGCCTTCGGTGAGTTAGACCAGATGTCTTTTTTGTTGTTGTTTTTGCATTGTGCTCATCTGCTAGGCACCTAAATGCCATAGGAAGATCATATTGGAGTCTATGTTTCCACATCCACCCTGCTCCCCACCATTCCTTCCCCTAACCTACTTCTCTCTGGCAGTGTGTCCATCACGGCCACTTGGGTTCAGAGGCCTCAGCAGCATTTCCATACAAAGGTAAGTTAGACTTCAAGTTAGGATGCTCTCTCTCTTGAACACCCAAGAGTGGGATGTTTAAAAAAACTGTACAAATCTAGACTTTAAGATTTCTTTTCTTACAAATCATCTTAACTTTTTACAAAGAAAATCTGATATACCAAAATGCCTGTCAGGAAGTTTACAGTACACTTGCTTGTGGT